TAATAAGCCAGTGGAGAGAATTAGCCCTCAGCTTGAGATGAGTCCTTTTAGCCACTATGTGGTTTCGCCAAGTAAGTCGCCTGTCCAGGTGGACCCCTAGGCAAGTGACATGATTGCTTTGTGGTATTTGTACGTTGTTTAAAGTCAAGGGCGGACAGTTACTCTTATTCAGTGTAAATGTAACTTGCTTACATTTTTGCTCGTTAACCTTTATTCGCCAGTTTGCGAGCCAATTGGCAACAGCTTCCATATGATTGCCTAGGAGCACAGTTGCTTGTAGAGGACACTTGGAGCGACTGATTATGGCAGTGTCATCGGCAAAAGTGGACATTATCAGGCGATCGTTTGTAGGAATATCCGCGGTGTATAAGACATACAACATCGGGCCAAGGACACTGCCTTGTGGCACTCCAGCTTCGATTGCATGGGCTTCAGAAATGGTGGTGTTACATCGAACTGCAAACTTTCGATTATAAAGGTATGACTTAAGCAGTTTGTGTGTGCTTTGTGGGAGTAGCATTTGTATTTTATACATAAGACCATCTAGCCAGACGCGGTCAAATGCCTGGGCCCTCTTTTCAAAAGCTGTTCGGATTTCGGTTGTTATGCGATTTACCTGCTCGATTGTTCCAGGTTTTTCCCTGAAGCCAATTGGTGGTATTATATTGCGGGCTTGCAGATGTGGGGAGATGCGCAGCATAAGAAGTTTTTCGAATAATTTCGACATACACGGTAGCAGGCTGATGGGCCTATATGAAGATGGCTGCGTTTTGTCCTTTCCGGGCTTTGGTATCATCACAATAGTCGACTTTTTCCATTGGTGAGGGAAATGACAATGTTTAGTGATTGCGTTAAATAGCATACAGATGCAAAGTACAGCACAATTTGGTAGCTCAATAATCATTTTTGGGGTTATTAAGTCGTGCCCTGGGGCCTTATTTGGTTGCAGTTGATAGTTAATTACTTTTAAAATTCAGGTACAAATTTCAGCGGCTCACATTTTGACACATTGGGTACGGGTGGAAGTTGAAAATCATTAGTTGCGGGGTTTGGCCTAAAAACATTTTTTAGATGAGAAGCAGAGGTGTTTGCTTTTTCTGCGTCACTCCGAGCTCATTTGCCATTGTGGTCCCGTACTGGCATTTCAGTCTCTATTGGCGCATTTAGCTGTGGTGTGCTTTCCATAACGAGTGCTTTGTGCTAGTCGGTGAGAGCTTTTGGATGTACCGGTACTGTGCGTACTGTTCCTCGTTCTTGAGGGCTCTCGTCAGTGCATGTGTGGCCGCCTTGAGCAGTTGTTTTGATGCTGGTGATCTATGAGTCTGCCATATCCGTCGTAGGCGTCGTTTTTCCAAGACAAGCATTTCAATTTTCCTATTGGTTAAAATATATTTTTTATTTTGCACATAACCTTTCTGGGGTGTGGAAATGCTAGCGGCTGCTCTAAGTGTAGATTCAAGAGCGGCTATGGAGTTTTCAATATCGGTCGGCGTATCTAAATTTGGATCGAGGTCTATATGCGCACTGATATATTTTTTATATTTTAACCAATTTGTAACCCTTGTCGTGAGCATATAGGGTGACTCTGTTTCTTGCGGCTGATGCCACAAGGTGAAAAGTACAGGTGAGTTGTCTGATGAAAGATCTGCAACTGATTCTGTACTAATAAGGCCGCGAGGAATTTTCCTTGTCACCGCAAAGTCAATCAAATCTGGCAACTTTTGCGGGTCTGCCGGCCATTATGTAGGCTTTCCAGGAGAAGCGTAATCGAGTTTGTTTCTTCTACATATAAGCGCGTTATATAATTGCTTGCCTTTAGGGTTGGACAAGCGTGAATTACAATTTGTAGACCTTTTGCTCTTTTAAGTTGGTATGTATAAAATTTTGTGTTTGTGTCATTCAGGTATTTGGACACTGTTCGAAAATCCTGTTCGGAATAAATTTGTACTTTAGTTTCGCGAATATTTCCCTTAGATAGTGGGATAATATGAAACTTATTACTACCGATTAGCTGTGTGAATTTTTTTACAAGAGCGCTTGGATTCTCTTCTCTTATAAAAATGGGCGGAGGTTTGGCATTAGTAGCTTTTGCAGCACCTTCAGAAATTTGGCTATTCACATCATCGGCATTGTCACTTAGCAGTGCAAATCTATTCGTACTGACTTGCTAAATTGAGGTAAGGCGGTTTATTTTTGTCTTACTGCCCGTTGAATTTTGCGGACTAAGTTTTATTATTACTGTAACATAGCGGTCCATTCCAGTCTGTATGGCCGCATTTTTAGTTGTTTCGTTTTTCAACTTTTCTTGCGCTTTACCTTTGTCGCCAGTGCTTGCACTCAAGTTAATTTGTGCTTGCGCAGCAAGAATAGGCCGGGCTGTTGACACCGCTGTGCAGTCGGCAGGTACCGGTGTGTTTGTTGTTGTTTTTGGCGCGATAGAGGCAGTAAAACATGTCACTGTACTAGTTGTTGTTGCCGCTATATTTGGGGATATGTTATCGCTTACCGAATTTGATGTAAGCGTTGGGCGTGAAATGTGATACGGCACAGGTGAAGCGCACTCTACACTCCAAGACATCGGAGTCGTCAATGGTAAGTTTGGAGGACAAGTCCGCTGACCTGAATCTTGAGGGGGTTTGAGGGTGGTCGATGGATTGGGCTTTGCGCTTTCGCTGTCACTCTGGGACCGAATAGAGAAATATGCGTTGTTGCGTTGAACTGAAAGCCGGCGCTCATTTTGCTCGCGTTGCTTCTGAGCTCGGATTTCAGCTTGACTCATCACTTTCTGTTTTCATTTGGTTTGTTTGTTTATTTTATTTTTATTTTTTGTTTTTGTTTTATTAAATTAGCACAATATTTAATGACTACGGAGCGAACTTAAAAACACGTCCGCACTCTTCGACTGTCAAATCACTTAGTGATGACCCTATTACATCAAAATTGGAGGGCCTATTCAACAAGTACTTTACACCGTTTAAGAATAATATACAGAAAACTCTGGGCAATATAGAATCAGAGCTTGAGACCATTTCCAAACAAAATCTGAGTATGTCTAAACAAAGTGCTTCGTTGGACAAAGGAATCAGTGAGGTGGAAAACAAGCTAAAAACATTTGAAGGCGGTACATCGGATGTGGATAATATCATAGCTGAGACAGTGGATAGGAAGAAGCGCGAAAGAAATGTCATCGCCTTCAATGTTCCTGAATCGAAGAAGCAAGTGGGCTCTGAGCGATTGTATGATGACCGCGTAGTGGTTTCCAAAGCTTTACCACCTGAGTTAGCCGAAGTTGTTTCTAATATGAAAATGCGCAGAATTGGTCGCCCAAAAGACCGCAAAACTCGCCCTCTGTTGATCACTACGCCTTCGGTTGATGATGCAAGAAGAATTCTCCAAATAAAACATACAGACAACAGAGACAACATAAATTTTAAACCAGATTTGACTCGGTGCCAGCAGAATCATCTTAACAGCCTACGGGAAGAGCTCTTAAAAAGAATGGTGAAACAAACAAGACAATCAGGTATATAAATGGTATCCCAAGAATTGTGAATGTGCCTGGATTTCGAAGCGACGAGGAGAACCACTAAGACCAAACAAGATCTGCTAGTTTACTACCAGAACGCAAGGGGGCTTAGAACTAAACTTAAAGATTTTTTCTCTATAACAGCAAGTTGGCAGTGTGATGTACTATGTATTTCGGAGTCTTGGTTGCATCTGTCTATTTTGGATGGCGAAATTGTTGACAGTACGTATAAAATCTATAGGAGGGACAGGGATCAAACGACCAGCATACATGAGCGCGGTGGCGGTGTCTTCATTGCTGTCAAGCGCCATATATCGGTTGAACAATTAACAATAAGCAACAATCACCTGGAGCAAGTATTCGTTAAAGTTAAAGGCCACGGTGGTGGTGACATCATCATAGGGTGTGTTTATATTCCACCAAAACCACGTTCTGATGTATACTCCAGTCATATAGCTACCATATCTTACTTTAGAAATAAATATCCAAACAGCAGTCTTATAATAATCGGTGATTATAATCTTAATAGTAGTCTACCACAAGTTGAGTGTGAATCAATATTGTATGAAAAATTTCTTCTCTCTGTATGCCTCCAGCAAAACAATACCTACAATGAGCACGGACGAATGTTGGATCTATGCTTCAGCGATTTAAACCTCTTGATTAACAAGGCGGATCCCATTATCCAGGAGGATGCATATCACCCCGCGCTGGTGGTGCAACATAAATTCCGTGCAAATCTGAAGCAAAATGACGTTCCTACTTATGTATTTAAAAAGGCAGACTATGCAGCATTGAATAGCTTCTTCCTGGGCGTAAACTGGATAGACTTATATAAGCTGGAAAATATCGATGACAAAGTGAGCTGGTTTTATGAGATTGTGTACTCGGGCATTGCTCAATTTAATAATAATAATAATATCCCAACGGTTTTTACCCTCCATTCCCGCCCATCCGCACGAGGGGCGCAGTCCGCATGACGTACGGAACCAATATTTTAAATTTTTGTGCCGAGTCACGATAGGCAGGAGTTTGTTAAGTGTCTAGATCTAAAACTGTTCAGCTTCAGAACTAAATTCATCAGCTGATTTTATGTATTTATGTCAATAATTCACTAATTGAGAGAGGAGAGTATCGCTTTCTTAATGCTGAAAAGCGGATCTGATATATCAAACGTGCTGGAATGAGAGTTAAAATCCTGGCATAAGCAACGGAGTGGGTCGTGCAATTCAAAATTGGTTTTACAAGCTTGTCAGAAATATGGGACAAAAGTGTCTTGATACGCGTGAGGGAACATTAAAGCTTACATCAGCCAGAAGAGACGGACTTGAAATTGAGCCTGTCAGTAATTTAACCATAAAAATTATACCAAGCATTTCCCTGCGACTGGCAAGTGTAGGAAGGTTAATAAGTTTTAAGCGACTCGTATAAGGTGGAAGACTATATTGAGAATCCCATTGGAAATTTCTTAAAGCAAAAAGTAGGAATTGTTTTTGAATTGATTCTATCTTGTCTGAGTAAATTTGATACCTTGGATTCCAAACCACCGAGCCGTATTCCAGAATCGGCCTAACTAATGTTGTAAACAGGGTTTTAGTGATATAAGGGTCACTAAATTCTTTTGACCATCGTTTCACAAATGCAGGTACACCTTTAGCCTTGTTGACTGTCACATTAATGTGAAGATTAAAATTAAGCTTAGGATCCATTGTGATACCAAGGTCCACAAAATTGTATACCTGTTCCAGGTTATGGTCACCTATTATATAAGAAACTGGCAGAACAGCTCTTCGCGAGAAGCACATTACTTTACATTTCTTAAGATTTAGAGGTATAAGATTTACTTTACACCAGTAAGCCATGCTGTTTAAGTCTGATTGTAGCAAAGACCTTTCTTTTATTGAAACGTACGATTTATAAAGTTTAACATCATCTGCATACATTAAAATTTTGGAGAATTTTATATCTGTAGAAATATCGTTTATAAAAAGCAAGAACAGAATCTGACCTAGGTGGCTACCCTGAGGGACTCCTGAAGTAACATCAATGACGTCAGAGATAGTATTTTTAAACAATACCCTTTGTGATCTATCATAGAGGTATGAAGAGATCCAACGTAGAAAATTAGGTGGAAGACCAAGAAGATCAAGTTTATAGATGAGCAACGAGTGGCACACTTTGTCAAATGCTTTACTGAAATCAGTATATATAACATCAACAGTTTTGCTCTCACTAAATGCTTTTGAGATATAGGATGTTAATTCAAGTAAATTTGTAGAAGTTGATTTGCCCTTGCAAAATCCATGTTGACTGTATGAAATGCTTGAAGTGATAGAATGCGTCAACCGATTTGTTATAATTGCTTCAAATAATTTAGGAACTGCAGAAAGCTTAGCTATGCCCCGGTAGTTCTCCACTGAAGACCTGCTACCGCTTTTATGTAAGGGGGTTATGAACGATTCCTTCCATACAGTTGGAAAAACGCCCTCTTTAAGAGACAAATTAAATAAGGCTGTTAACGGCTCATAGAGATAATCAGCACAATTTCTAAGAAAACAAGTGGGGATCTGGTCAGGACCATAACTAAAAGACTGCTTTAAGGACTTCAGGTAAACTAAAACATCATCGGGAGATATTATAGGGTTATGTATTGAGTTAATTGGACTTAGTTTAAAAGGATAGTCAAAGTATGCTCGGGAGTTAGTGGAATAATTGGATTTAAAAAACTGAGCGAACATGTTAGAAATTGTTTGATTATCACCAGAGACGGTATTTTGATACTTCATGGCGGAAGGAAACCCACGTACATTTCGCTTGGAGTTTACGAAATCATAAAATAATTTGGGGTTATATATTATACGTCGTTTGATTTTACACAAGTAATCTTTATAACACTTTTTGTTTAATTCAAAGAACTTGTGACGCAAAAGTGAGTATTTTACATAGTATGAGTGTAAGCCGGTTTTTTTGTGTAATCTAAAATAACGTGACTTTCTGTTTTTCAAGTTTCCCAGTTCTTTAGTGAACCATAACGGTGTTTGTTCTTCAGGAACACACATGCGTTTAGGCACATACTTTTCAAATAATCTATGTACAGTACAATTAAAATGTGCAGCGCTTTGCTCAACTTTTTCTTTGTATATAGGCCACGACAATTTAGACAATTCTTTATTCAGTTTTTTAAAGTTGGCTTTCGAAAAATCAAAGCGAATATTTGGTTCGTATGTTTGGACATCGCAATTTTGACCATCGTTTATAATTTCGTATGATATCTCAATAGCAGGGTGGTAGACATCTTCGGGCAAAACTAGTGGGTCACATTTATTTACAGCCGACTTAGATGCATCATCAACATAAACAAGATCTAATACTTTGCCAAACTTATTGCGAAGTACATTAACTTGATTCAGGCAGAGTTCAGCCATCTCCTCTAAAAATACGTTGTTGCACGCGCTAGACGAGAAAGGTACAATATCATTGTCAATGATGTTCCATGATACATTTGGTAAATTAAAGTCACCCAACACAATCAATGAATCAGAGGGTTTAATCATTGAATTAATTGATTTCAGTAAAGATACATGTTGTGAATACACTGATAAGTCAGATCGGGGAGGAATATAGCATAGAGCTAAGTAAGTAAACCCCCTTCCAACCTGAACACGAATGCATTTGAATTCTGCAGATTCAATGTGTGGAAGACTAACTTCTTCAGATGGTATTGAAGAGTCTACGGCAAAGAGTACGCCACCGCCGACTCTGTCCTCCCGATCTTTTCTGTAGATATGATAATTATTTGAAAGAATCTCTGAATTAAAAGTGTGAGGTTTGAGCCAAGTTTCAGTCAAAGAAATTATATTATAATTGCATTCAAGGCCATTAAGATATAAATTCGTTAATTTAGTATTTATGCCTCTTACGTTTTGATAATAAATACTTAAAGCAGATTTAG